ACTCACTCAACACTACACAGTATTAGGAATTTTATAATTTTAAGGAAATGTAGGCTAGAATAATAGTGTTTTAAAAGAAGCCTTTAATTATAATTGGCAAAGTGCATAAAAATTTTAACAAAACAATCAATAAGCTGTTGTAAGACTATTCAGGTTGGTGATCTAGTCTGAAGACTAGACTAGACTAGTTTCATTTCAATGTTGTTTCCTATTTTATTTTTTTTTAATTCAAGAGCCTGTTTTAGCTTTTATTTCCTGGTCTCATTTTCAGAATTCTAATGTCGCTTGCTTGTGAAATACCTTCTTTCACAAATGCAGTAAATCTTACTAGTAAAACCCAAGGAGCTCATGCTTCTTTTGTGTTGTACAAGAAAAAGTAAAGTCACAAGGCTACACCCCTCACACAATAATAGGTAATGGGAAGGTGATTTCTTAAAGGGCATAGTCTAAAGTAATTGGCAATCTGTGATCTCTTGGGACTTCCTAATCATTTCAAGTACTACTGCTTGCACATCCACACTCAATTTGAGAGTGTACATTAAATGAAGGTTTTGACATGCTCTGTGAAAAGTTCCCAAGAATGTCCATAATCTGTCAAGTGGTTATCACACCTAGGCATGACTGACAGACCTTACCATACTCAGGTGAAGCAGATAAAGCCTAGACATCAGGGACAGTCAGAGAATCCCAAACTGATTGAAACAATAAATATGTATATTTCTATTTATGTGCAATAATATTATTTTTAAAATCTACTTATTGTCCTGAAATTCCCTTTCTAACTTACACTGATAAAACAAGAATCTGCACATACCAACAGCAAGGACAGAAAGACTGGCATCATGCCTCTTTCAGACATATCACTAATATGCACCATTCAATTGATCCTTGGTGATTTAGAAAGAATTTTTTTATTACATCGAGAAGAGAAGAGAAGAGAAGAGAAGAGAAGAGAAGAGAAGAGAGAAGATTTCATTTTGAATGGACCTACAATGACCACGTAGTCCAACTGCCTAACCAGTTGAGGGACGACCAAAAGTTAAAGCATGTTATTAAGGACATTGCCAAAATACCTCTTAAACATTGACAGGCTTGGAGCATTGCCCACCCCTACTAGAAGCCTGTTCCAGCGTTTGACCATGCTCTCAGTAAAGAAATTATTCCTATTATCCAGTCTAAACCTCCCTTGACACAGTTTTGAACCATTGCCATGTCTCCTATCACTGGGTACCCAGGAGAAGAGCTGAGCACCTCCCTTCCAAGGAAGCTTCCCTCCCTATGTCCCTTCCTGAGGAAGCTGTAGAGACCAATGAGGCTTCCCCTCAGCCTTCTTTTCTCCAAACTAAACAAACCTGAAATCCTCAATTGCTCCTCACAGGACATGTGTTCCAGCTCCTTCACCAGCTTTGTTGCCCTCCTCTGGATGCATTCCACGACCTTTGCATCCTTCTTAAAAGCTGGAGCCCAGGATCACACGCAGTAGTCAAGGTGATGCTGCACCAAAGGTTCACCTTATGTTGGCTGCAGCACGGCTTTGAGGGAGCAGTACTGACAGCAGTGGAGATCTGCAGGCATCTACAACAGGTTCAATGGAAGCAAGGTGCTTTGTGGCTGGGTCTACACTGCAGAAGATCAAATTTCTGCCAGTGGGTACTAGAGACTCACAAGGGGTCATGGTGACCTGGTTCATACCTCTTAGCAGTACAAGGACATCAAATACAGTACCCAAACTGAAGTTTTTATCTCTCTGCTTTGCTGCTCTGTCAGCATACAAGATTTGTGTGTTTCATAATGAACAAAACAGAAAGTCTGTCTTCCTCTGGACAGCATGAATGAAAACTAGAGGAAAGCTCCCTGGCAGCAACTGTTTGCAGCAACAGTGACACCCTGAAGCAATATAGTGACCCGTGAGGAAGGATTTTGTTTGTGTCAGTTTAGATGTTCTGTCTTGTTCTCTCAATAACCTTTCTGACTACCTTTGGGTTATTTGAGCAATTTAGACAATTATCTCTAATGCAGACATATTGTCTTCTGGAAAACAAGAATTTCCACAGAAGCTCTATAGATAATAAAAAATCCCTGATTTTAACCTTTGTCATCATTTCCATCCACTTAAATGTATGTTTAAGCTGTAAAACTGTTTCCCAGCATGCAAAAGGCTTGAGTGCCAAGTTATGCTTGCAAATCAGACATTAAATATGCAGATCCTGTGACATGGAAAGTGAAACGTGCATTTTACAAAGATATGCTGGCATTTGAACATTTTGTATTTGGGTGATCTTGAACATCACCAGTGTGTGTGCTTTTCATCATTCAACTATAAAGCCATTCATCAAAAGGGGGTTTTGGTTTTGTTATGTTTTTGGTTTTGTTTTTAGTTGGAATAAAAAATAACAGCTCTGTGCAAATTTGGGAAAGTCAATAGGGACACAGAGCTATAATTGACAGTAAGTACTACCCTGATATTGCTGGGCATAGGGCAGCTAAGGGAGCTGGTAATGGTCAGAGCCTCACACTGCATACTGAATGGACCTGTAGTTTACAGTAAACTGATGCTTTTGTAACAGTGCAAGATGATTCATAAATATTAAAAACCTATGAGAGTTCATGTAAATACATGCTAACTGAGATGCAGTATCTTGAAAAAGAACTGAAATTAAAGAAAATATTTACTAGCAAAATGTATAAAACATTACACTCACTTTAACGCATAAAATGCTTTCCCAACTTAGTTATGGCGGAAATCAAGACCCAAAGTATAACGAAGTTTATTTCCAATGTCTACTCCCTTTAGTGCGGCTAGGAATAATCCTGTATATATTTGGTTTTTTAAAAAAGGGAGACATGGTCCAAAACCTGTAAACTCTTGGGTTCATCCTTTATACTCCTGAACAATTTGGCGCAAGAAGAAACCAAAGAAATGGGAAGAAATTGAGCCCACAACAAGACAGAAGAGGATCTTCTTCCTCTGATTCCTCTGAGAAGCTCACTTAAGTAACTACAAGCTCTTATTTTATTTCTATTTCATATGAGAGGTTTGAAAAGTTCATTATTCTTCCAGTTCCTCCTTCCTGTAAATCCAGAGCAAGCGCCTTTAATCTGGAGGGGAAAAATAGAGCTAAAATACAGAATAATCAATTTTTTGGTTCATTCTGAGGATGTATTTTTTTTATTTTATTTAGCAAGGATATTCTGGTTCTAACCAAGACTTGGGTTCAAAATATTTTACCTCCTCCTCTATTTCAGCTGATAGTGAGTGGTAAGCCAGAGCACAGAGGTAACTACTGTATTTCTGAGAGCTCCTGTGGGAGTGCTCCAAAGGCACCTGTGAGGCCAGAGCCATGCTGAACAGCAAATAAAACTAGGCACTCCACATCCCTTGATGATGGTTTGGTTCCCCACCCTTTGGCCACCATGACCTGCTCATCGAGGCTGCCTGCAGACCCCCCACTGGCAGCTGGCTCACACAGCATCTTCTCTGTGGGTACCCAGGACAGGGTTTTGGAGCAACCACTTCATACCCAGTTACCTCCACAACACTCATTCTAGATACCTTTATCTACTGCCAGCTATCAACAGCCAACACGAGTGTGAGTAAGCATCCTTCTTAGCATCAGTTTACATCCTGGAACATACCCTCTTACTATTTACTACGTCTATTTACTATATGTGCTTATGGAGTAAGTATGTACACTTACAGAGTTTGCATACGGGAGCATATCCTTCTACTATTTACTACATATGCTTATCTCAGTGCAGCAGTGGTGCTGAAGCACAGCTTGTAGATCAGTTGCAGGTTGTGGATCCAACAGCTTGGTCTGCATTTGCTCTCATCATTTATGGGACAATGCCAATTCAAAATCACAAGTCATAAACAGACATATTTACTTGCAGTTGCTAATAGCACTGTAGATAGAAATAAAGTACTTTTAAAAGCTCGTTCACTTATCTGCACTGAAGTTCTACATTTTTTCCTTTTTGTTCTTTTCTACTTCTTTCAGTCTAAGGAATGAAAATGTAAAAAGGTGTCCAAAGTTGTGGGGTTTTTTGGTTTTTTTTTTGGTTTTTTTTTTGTTGTTGTTGTTTTTTTGTTGTTGTTTTTTTTTAATATTTATCTGCTTAAAAACAGCTTTAATAGGATTTATTTTAAGTTGCAAAATACTCCTGAGGGCGTCAAGTCCGGTAAAAATCTTCCTTCAGTGACATGAACATGTTTTCTGGATTCTGTCAGCTGTTTGAGATAAATGTGACCCGCCGATGGTCCTCATCAGCAGAATGCTGCGAGTGGCTTTCATTTGGACCAGGAAGAAAAATCATCTGCTGGCGCCGCTCTCTGTGAGCCACGCTTCCGCGTTAAGGGCACGGCTGAACGCGGTTTTACTACTTTTTATACGAATGAGCGCAGTCCTCAGCTCCCGGCTCCTTACTGATGCTCTCCCCGATCGCTGATAGATAAGCGGCGTTCAGCTGTCAAAACGCCGGCTGCCCTTCAGCATGCCCAACTTTCGCACCCCAGCCCCGAGCTCCCCTGCCTCGCCGGGCGCCGCGGGAGGGGGGCACCGGGGCCCGGAGGGCGAGCCCGGGTCCCGCACGGACCCCGCGGGCGGGCACCGCGGTTCCCCCGGCCCCGCACGGGCACAGCTCCCCGCGCAGCCGCTCGGCTCGGCTCGGCACGGCCGCGGGGAGGCACACCCCCGCCCCGCCGCCGTCCCGCCCGCCCGGCGCGGCCCTCAGCGCCCCGGCCCTCAGCGCTGGCGGCGGGGGGCGCCCGCGGGCGGCGGCGGCGGGAGCGCGGGCGCGGGGGTGGCCGAGGAGCGGCGGCGGCGGCGTGAACGCGGCTGCAGAGCCCCAGCGAGCCGCGGGAGCGCCGCGCCCGCCGCAGCCGCCGGAGCCGGGCGAGGAGCGAGCGCGGCCGGCCGGAGCCGCCGGGAGCCCCGCGGGGAGGCAGCGAGGGGCCCTCGGCGAAAGCGCGAACAGAGCACCCCCCACACCCCCGCCCCGCCGCCTCCGCCCGCCCCCAGCGAAGAGAAACAAAACACAACCCCGGCACCGCCACGCTCTCCCTGCTTCTCCTCTCGGCTTTTGGTGGTTGTTTTTTGGGGTGTTTTTTTAAATTTTTTTTTTCTTTTAATTTTTTTTTTCTTGGGGATTCTCCTCTCTCCTGCCAGACTGACTTACACGTTCTTGATAATTTCTCTTCCCCTCATTTTTTTTTACTCTTCTCCCTGCTTCCAAACCCTGTGTCTGTGTGTTTCAATACTATCACAACCTCTGCTAAAAATAGATCTTTTTATACCCTTCCTCCTCTCTGACCCCATCCAACACCCCTTGTTAAGGTGAGTTGTGTCTTTTCATCACTTTTTTCCTTGTGTGTTGGTTTTGTTTTTTCTTTTTGGTTTTCGTTGGGTTTTTTTGGTATTTTGGTTTCGTTTTTTTTTTCCTTTTTTTGTTGTTTGTTTTGCTTTTTTCCCCATTTAGGGCAGGTTTTAGGGAGGAGGGGATGTGGAGGAGAGAATTTCACGGGGAGTCAGGCAAAGCCTTATTTTGCCTTCTGCAGCCTCAGCATCATTCCGGACTGCTCCCTTTTATCCCAAGGATGTAGCTAGCTGATGAAAGTGGGGAACTACTCTTCCTTAGCGCTGCATGCTTGGGAGCCACAGCAACAGCAGGAAAAAAAAAACCAACAAGCTTCTCCTTTTCCTTTCGTCCTACCCCCCACTCCCTTCCTCATTCCCTCCTCCTTGCTGTGTCGTTTATTTGTTTGGTTTTTTTATTTTATTTTGGTGGGATGTTTGGTTGGGATTTGGTGGTGGGTGGGTTTTTTTGGTTTGTTGGGGTTGTTTTTTTTTTTTTTTTTTTTTTTTTCTTTCTGTGTGTATGCTTGGTTTCTGTTTTGAAGCAATACACAGGGGACTTGGAATGAATTGCATGTAGTGCCAAGGGAGCTCTGTGTGTGTGTGCACGTGTGTCTTGAGAGTGAGTGAGCGTGTGGGTGAGTGTGCAAAGTGCATTTGTATTTCGTGTTCCTGGGGTGATGAGTGTTAAAGCCACCAAATAGTCCCTGTACATGGAGCAAGGAGCACAGCAGGGGCTGCTGAGGGAGAAGCTGGTCAGGGATGCAGGAAAGCTACAGAGCTCTCCACAGAGTTCATCCCCTGTGCTCCAGAACATCTTTCCATAGATCATTGCTGGCACCTTCAAGGTGATGGCTCCCATTCCTCTCCTGGCTTCTCAGTAGAGGAGGGCAGGAAAGGAAAACTTTACAGCTAATGAGGAGGGATAGCATTTCTGTTCCTCCAGCAGCCCGAGACAGTGTTATTCCAGGGATGAGTGGGGAAAATAAGAGTTGTGATCCAGAGCAAATGGATCGTTTGCTGTTACATATTAGTGTTCAGTGAGAAAAAGAGACGTGAAACATTATCAGTTTGGTCAGCCAGCAGGAGCATTGGAGTCCGGCTTACTTCCCAGTTCCAAAGTTGTTTTAGACTGTTTTTCATTCTTCAGAAAACTGTGCCTATTGAGTGCAGAAATATGCTTTTACGGTAAAACAGTCTATTATAAATTGCTGGGGAACGATTTATTATTCAGAGGCAATCAAGTAATTTATATGTTTCATGGATTTCCCCCAAGTCTTTTAGTGTGCCTTCAATTATGTATTTTACCTTTGTGTATGAAGCGGGTAATATAGATTTTAGTTGCATTTTAACAAGGTGTTAAGGCATAACTTGCAGGGTGCCATTTGCCAAGTGTCACTTAATATGAAGCAAAATAACAGCCTCTAGCTCTTTTTCATGGATTTTTCACATCTCTCTTGTTTGTTTGAAAACAAGCGGCGATTTTGCTTAAGAACTTGTAAGGAAAACTGGCTTCACAATGGTACACAGTTTCAGATATTAGCTCAAAATTATTAACACTTGTCTGGCTGTGAGACCTGAATTTACTTATAAAATACAAATACAAAGTGAAAGAGCACTTGGTATACATGGTTTTCTAACAGGTTGAATCATTTTTGTATCTAAAAGTTTACAGATGAGCTAAAATGGTTGTTGTGATCTGTGTTTGGAGGCCTTAATGGGTACAGGAACATTAATGTTTCCTGTCTAGTTAATGCAATTCCAAAATATCCTGTCTTTCCACATGCTGCATAGATAGCACTCAGTAAAAATGAGCAGTCATGGAAATAGTCTTGTGCTATCAAGGGACATTTCATCATTTCTTGTTAGCCAAAATTAAAATATTTTACACAAGTTTGCCTTGGAATTTTTTTTTCTGCTGTGGCTGGCTGATTGTGAAAGTGGGAAGCCTGCTTTGAGTGAGATGTGACATTCCTGATGCTTGATAGCTGTGAGGGGAGAGACACCTGATGTGCTGTGTACATCATTCTTGAAGGGACGCAGGGTAAGAAAAAGGGATGGAAAACGAGCACAGTGCACTGACAGTTTAGATAAATAAATATGGGTGATGCATGTTAGCTTGCCATCTGCGGTTCTGCTGAACCCTGACTGCTGGCTAAACATATTTTCTTGGTAAGCACTGCAATGTGATACAATTTTTCTGGTTTGATAGAGTTTGCTGTTAAAATCACATGTAGCACAGAACAGTTCTTGTTCTGCAGATAAAAATCTTGCCACCTCGTTTTAATCTACTGAAATATCCACTACTCCTACTGAAGTCACCAGGAGTTACCTGTGATCAGCACTCTTCATGGTTTTTTATCTCACCATATCAGGATTTAGGATATTTCCAAAAGATGCTATTGACAGCAGATCTCGTTTTGTTTAGATTTTACTTTAGGTGCATGTTGTGTGTTTACAGGTAGACACTGTCTTTTACCACAACAACACTAAAATATATCAGGAAATGGAAAACTCTTAATATTGTTTTTCTCAGGAGCTTTTAAAGAGAATTCTCCCAATGTCCTTTAACTGCTTCAGGAAAAGCAGTGCTCACTCCAAAATCCACACACTAGGAACCTTTAGTTGGTTGCTTAGCTGTTGGTGAAAAAAAAAATTAAAAAAGATAGAATGTTTGTACACAAAAAGAGCAAGTCATGTGTTTGGGTTTTTTTTATGACAACTGAAAGACAGGAGTGCTCTCAGCTGGGCATGACAGTGTTGAAGTAAGGTTGATGTTGAGTTTGATCTGGGGGTTGTTCCCACTGGCGTGAGTGACAACACACCAACACTTAGCTTATTCTGTCATGTACTAACCTAGATTAAACATCTCTAACTTATATTTTGAGATTTGGATAAGGCATCAAACCTTGGATTTATTCACTTCTAAAGCCTTTTTTGTTTGTTTGTTTTGTTTTTGAAACAAGTCTTTTAAAGCTGTGAACTCCTATAAACAAAATAATGGAGTGTTCATAAGTCACTCCAAGTTTGTGGACCTTATTGCTGTGAAAGTAAGGTGGGATTTCTCTCTACTGCTCACCAACTGAAATTATTTTCTTGTATTATTGCACCTTGTTATTCTGCAATGTGAGTCTAAAGTGCTTAGTGAAAGGAGTTATTATTCTGTGGATGTGGTGGTTCCACAAAAGAAGAACATGTTTATTTTGTCTTGTCCTAAATTGCAACTCCCCATCAGGTTCAGTGACATTTTGTTGCAGGGCAAAGTTGCTGTTTCATTTGGGTATCCTTATCAAGGAAACTGTATTGATGACAGACTTTTTTAGAGTTTTAACAAAGTAAATGAGAACTGTCACACAGCTGCTTGGGAATTTTGGGGCTGGGGTGCAGTGGTTTTATCTGTATCCACGCAGAATGCAGTTACAGTATACATTAAAAATCAGTAGCATCTGAAAATCCATTTTTCTCTTTAGATACCTCTTTGTTTACTGGTTTAAAGTGGTACTATATATGTATATGCTTCCATCCGAGTGTATATTTGTAATTTTAACGCGTTTAGATGAATGATGTTACCTTAAGCAAAGACGACTATTTATTTGCATTTTGTCTGCTGGAAATGCGGTCTTTATAATAAAATAGGTATTTTTCTTCTGTTGTACTTGCTTATGCATAGAAGAAAATTAGTATTTTCCTCCTGAGAAATGTGTTACTCTGAAGAACCAGATGCTGAACAGATCTACTCGCAGTTCCCTTCCCAGTCTTGGTGCATGTGGATGAGTGTCAGAGGTAACAAGTGCTCAGGCATGGTAGGGACAGGAGGAGGGTGGCTCTCTGCAAAGCAGGAGGTCTGATGATCTGGTGCTGCAGTGGCTGAGTTGTTCAGGGCTAAGAGAGCAAGGCGCTCCCTCACCCTTAACAGTGATATACTCCTTTGTCTTATGGCTTGCGTTCATCAGTCTACTTGGTTTTCCTTTTATTAGTTAGGGAAGATTACAGTCTGGTAATGCTAACACAGCTTTCTGATGACAATGGTTTGTAGGAGGTCAAGTGAAAAGTAATTCTGGAGAGGGGTCTCCAGCTGCAGTGTTTCTTTGCCGTCTGTTTTTATTTACTCCAGTTTTCCCTGGATTTGCATCCAGCTATTCTGCCCTACTTGCTGGCATAGGCTGGAGGTTGTTTTGTGCGCAGAAAGTGTTTGTAGGAATGGGGAAAGAATGTTATTGTTAACTTTAGACAGCACAGTGTTCCACCAATTCCAACCAAATGCAAGAAGAGCTGTGGCACTGGAGCTAAAATGCTCAGAATTTGCTTGATATAAATATGATATTTCATGTCTCATGAGGAGAGACACCTTTTTAAACAGAATTCAAAGGGAATGCATTTTTCGGAATGAGTTTTACTGTAAGTCCCAGTGATCACTCATGTCCCAAAGAATCTGCTAGGAGCAGCCCAAGTGATTACAGGTTAAAGTGGGGTGAGGCAGCTCCTCCTACTCCATCCACTGCTGCAGCTCCATGCTGGTAGATTGGTACCTGTGCCAGCACTGCCATTGTATCAGTGACAAAACTTAAATTTTGTTTATAGGGCGGTATACATAATGCACTATTGATTCCTGCTAGCCTGCAAGGCTTTTAACAAAGAGTATGAATCCAATAATTTTGATTATGGATCTTGCAATATCTGACTTTGTCAACTATGCATTAGATATATTTAAATGCTGTGAACACTTAATCCAAAGGAGCAAAATGCTTGTCTTCTGTAAATGACAGAAAAAATACTTAATTAGTTCATTCATTTGGCCTTTTGAGGTGTGGATGGCTCAGGACTATACATTTCTTGATTACAATTTGGCTCTTGGTTTACTTAAAAATAGTTGCAGAAGGATTTACTATTAATAATTTTTGACAAGCTCTATTGTGTGCATTTTAAAAGGTGGTTAGTTTTATAGCAAGGTTTTAGGGCCAACCTCAAAAGTCTGATGAGAA